ACCGACCGCCGGAACCACATCCTTCCTCCCCTTCCTCCCCCCCCTCTCCCTCCCCCTCTCCCTCCCCCTTCCTCTCCTCCCCCTCCCCTTCCTCCCCTTCCTCCCCTTCCTCCCCTTCCTCCCCCCCCCTCCCCCTCCTCCCCCCTTGCCCCCCTCTCCCCCTCCTCCCCCCTCGCCCCCCTTCCCCCATACCCTCCTTCCCCCTCGGGACGAGCTCCGCGCGCCACGAGTAGGCGGGAGGAGGCGCGCGGAGGAGGATGGAGGGGCGCGTTCCTCCCCTTCCCCTTCCCTTCGTGATTTTCCTCGTTCTCTCCTCCTCCTCCTTCTCCTCCTCCTCCCCCCCTCTCCTCCCCCTCCCCCTCCCCCTCCCCCCCTCCCCTCCCCTCTCCTCCTCTCCTCCTCCTCATCCTCCTCCTCCTCTCCTCCTTCCTCCTCCTCGTTTCCTCCCCTCCCCCTCCTCCTCCTCCCCCCTCCTCCTCCTCCTCCTCCTCCTCCTCCTCCTCCTCCTCCTCCTCATCCTCCTCCCCCACCACCACCACCACCTCCTCCTCTCTCCTCCTCCCCGACCCCTCCTCCCCCCTCCTCCTCCCCCTCCTCCGTCCCCCCTCCCCCTCCCCCCATCCAACCTTCCTCCTGCAGCTCCTCCCCGCCCTTCCTCCCCCTTCCCTCGTCCCGCTCCCCCGTCCTCGCGCGAGCCCCCGCCTGCTCTGCATGCCCCGCCCCCCCGCCCGCCTCTCCTCACCCTGGCCCTGGCCCCGCCCCCGTCTGCCGCACTGCGCCCCAGCCAGAACCGCTCTGGGTGGGCGGCGGCACAGCCCCAGGCCTCGAGGATACGGTACCGGGGCCTCGGGAGCGCGCAGAGGCACAGCGCCGAAGCAGGCACACGCGCGCACACAGGAGCGCACGGCGTAAACGCGCACACACGCGCGCGCACACAAACACGCACGCACGCACGCACGCACGCACGCACGCACACACACAAACAGATACTAACACACGCACGCACACACACACACACACACACACACAGAATGTTTGGCGTCGCGGCCTCGCGCGCAGCGGCGCGGCGGAGCAAATGTCGGGCGATAAGACGCGCGCGGCCGGCCCAGATTACGCGACGTCGATATATCTATCTATGTATATATATATATATATGGTCGCCCCCCCCCCAGCGCTCCCCACACCACCAAAACAACAAATCAATCATTAATCGCTTGCTCCTTCTCATCCTCCTCCTCCTCATCCTCCCCCTCTTCCTCCTCCTCATCCCCATCCATCTGCACCTCCTCCTGCCCCCCACAACAAACACCCAAGAAACCAAAAATACACAGTGTTTGGCGCCCTCGATGCAAGGAAATGTTGTGTATTGTTTTGGTTTTTTGGGTTTGAGGATCAACGAAACACTTCTTTTTTGTTTTGTTTTGGTTTGTTGGGCTTTGGAGGCCTCATGCTCGCAGCGGCCTCCCTGCCGGCACCATTCTGCCTGCCAAATCATAAAACAAAGAAGAAGAAAAAAACAGTGTTTGGCGCCCTCGATGCGAGGAAATGCTGTGTATTGTTTTGGTTTTGTGGGTCTGAGAATCAACGAAACACTTTGTTTTTTTTTTGGGGGGGGGGGTGGAGGCCCCATGCTCGCGGAGGCCTCGGCGAACATGGGGCTCCTAAAACCAAAAAACCACAAAAAAAGTGTTTCGTTGATCCTCAGACCCGGAAAAACAAAAACAAAACTAAACAAAAAAAAGACACACACACACACACGCACACACACACACACACACGCACACACAGCATTTCCTTGCATCGAGGGCGCGAAACACAGTGTATTTTTGTTTTTTTGGGGGGGCTTATATTTTGGGAAGCAGAAGGGTGCTGGAAGGGAGGCCGAAGCGGCCGTGTCGGGGTGCAGCTGGGCCAGGCACTCCTCCTGTGAGATTGCGCCCGCGACCGTGGATTCTCATTTTGGTCAGCTATACTAATGTTTGTTTTCACTTTGCAGACACGTTCGTTTCAAATCCTTGTGCGGTTTTGGCACTGATGCCAACGATACACGGAATTACTGTCATGACAATCTTTGAACGCTATATTCAATCATTGTTCTCGTGGCACATGCGCTCATTGATGCGGTACCGATAAAGGTCCTGGTGACGCCATGAGTGTCGCTACGGTTGTTGCTTTGGTTGTGGTTGCGACGTTCGATACTGCGAGGCACGTTGTTGTGGCTACACGTCCAGATGTTGACATTCACGTTTCTTGCAGTCGTTGTCGTTGTGTGCGCGGTTGTAGTTATAGTGACCGTCATGGCGGTGATTCCGTCCATTGTGTTTGTTTTGGTGCGAGTACTCAATCTGGCTATCGTTATGAGCATAGCTGTAATTATGGTGAATATTGGTTATGTTTTTTGTTATAGCTATGGTTGTGATTATGGTTGTGTCGTATGGTTCTGTTATAAATAAAGCTGCTTGTGTCTGTTGTGCTGGTGAACCTATCGTTATTGATGTAG